TGTTTAGATGAATTTATTGAATCGTATGCATAGTTAATGAATAGGTATAATTTACATATCATATACATAGGCGTGCGCAGCCTCCGGTTTCAGGGGCAGCAAGAGATTAATTCGGCCCATTTTTCAAATTCACCATTAAAACCTGCCCATAGTTTTACTTTTTTTACTATTGGATATAAAAATTAAAATTGTATTGGTTATTTGTTTTTTTGGATAAAAGGTTGTACAGTAAGCTACTAAGCCACTAAAGGTGTACTTTTCTACAAGCATATATATAAAATATTTATCTATAGTTTATCAAAACAAAAAAAATCCTTTGTGGAAATATAATTTTACCGAGGCCCATTATTTAATATTTGCCGGCCCCAGTGGCCCCAAAGTAAGTCCAGGGGCAGCATATGCTGCCTCTGCTGCCCCCGTGCGCACGCCTATGATCATATATGTATAATAACATACTTCATGACCTATAAACTATTAGGTACAAATTCTGGATGTAGTGTCTGACTAATCACATAATATTGCACTCAACTTATTACGATTCCTTTTTCAAAAATTACATAATAGTACCTATAATACTCTTAGAATTGTGAAATATCCAAGTTTTAAATGCCAAAAATATTAATAGAATGCGTATCCATAGTTTTATGATTACATTTTTCGCGTGAGTAAAAAATATAACAAACAATTCAAACAAAATACTATAATATTTTTTAGGTATGTTTCTTTAATTTTTTTACTGGATGAATTTTAAATTCTGAGTGGAGCGAGTATTGATTTTACAATGATGTGTGGTCTTTTCTCTGTGCATCACTCATCAGTCATCACCTTTTGTCCTTTGGGGTAGTAAAATGCTTCGACTTTGGATAGGTGTTTCTGGTTAGGTCACCCGTTATATTATTTAATTTTTTTTTTTTATTAGGTTTAAATGCTTCAACGTCTCAGGTCATTAGCCTATGATAATTATAAAGTATTAATCTTAGAACAATGGGTAGACATTATGTTAAATATAAGAAGGGGAATGTAAAATATATTATGTACAATATTTATTTTTATTTTTTTTACATTAATTTTGCTAAGCCTATGTTTGTGAAGAAATTGTATATATTTTTGGAGTTCTCTTCTCCAAGTACTTGTTTCATTGTTGATGGATTTCCGAGGATTTGTCTGGAAATGTTGAACTTGGGGCATTCTAGTGTGATGTGTTTGATCGTCAGTTCTTTGTCACAGAGTTCCCAGGTCGCGGGTGGGCATTCTTCTTTAGCTTATTGTTGTCCCCCGCCGTTGTATGTAAGCTATATCTTAGGTGTGAACTCATCCAACCCCCCCCTTCTTCTTACCAGACCACGAAGTGATAACCTCCCCCCTCCCGTTTTGGTAGACTACCCATGACTACTATTTTAGATCATAAAACCAACCATATAATTTAAGTACTTTCAAAATTTGGATTTTTTTTGTGTTCATCTTAAGATTTTTTAAAAATGCTTTAATATTATTGAAACTGACACTATTTGTGAACAGTTACGTAATCCAATTTCAAATTCTGATATTTTGACAATTTAAAATGTTGTAAGTTCGAAGCTTAGAACTTAGAAGTTAATAGTACTGTTACGAACCCCTGTTTATAATTTATTAGTAATTAGCATAATAAGCACTTTTTGGCAATGTCCATCGACGCAATAACGAAATACCGAATGAGCGTCGCTGGCAGTCGTGTTTTATATTACACACGGGACTCGTGTGAATTCGTATTCAATAAATGTATTTAGTTAAGTGAATCAAAGACTATTTATTTATTACCTAATAATTAATTCTCCGGGAATTAATCTTAAAATATTATCCACATCGAAGGCGAACCTACAAACCCGCAACGGATATAACCGAAAAGGGAACACAACAGTACGGTTTTGTCCAGCCTTCCCCTACATAAAGTGTGATAAAGGGGTTTTCATATTTGAAGAACATAAATTTGTATTGTCACAGTATCATCCTTAAGTGATACAAAAAATTTAAAGTATTCGAAAATATGGTCTTCAAATTTATTTAAAAATACTAAAATTCGAATTTGAATATAATGCTTAACTTAAGCATACAAATAGGGTACCTCATCATACTTGAAAAATCACCTTGTATAAACAAAACAATTATTTTATTTGAATTGTATGTGCATCTAGGTACATAAAAAAGTAGGTACCTATAGTCCAACAAATATAAGCAAATGTGCATAAATCATAATACAAATATGAAATATGTTTACGATAAAAATTCAGCCTATGTGTATCTTTTACTGTGGCGAGATAAAAAAACAAAAGTATTAGGAATAAAACTATGGAAATCCAGTTAACGTGGGCAATGTATTTTGTAGCTGTGTTCAACAATAATGGCTCGAAAAAATGTGTGTAGGTATAATCAATGGTATAATGTTGGGGGCAGCCGTAACGTTTTGGCAAAACCGGTTTAGGTGTCTTGGAAATAAAATTCCGTGTTTCACTATTTGTCATTTGCATACTGTACACATTTATTATTCATTACCTTATCAAATGGAAGCGCGTCAAAATCAGGACAAAATCGCTCAAAGTTCTAACGGCGCATCGGTTATACACGCTCCACAATCCACTCGCCCCGCCACACGGTTTTGTTCTATTTGGTTGGTCGAGAAAATAAAAAAAGCACAATTTAGTGGCCACGAGGGCACGAGGCATGATTGTACGAGCATCAATAATAATATAGTTACCTAACCTGTAAGTTATAATAGCTGATTAGTGGATTTACAAATTAGTTTCTCCACAAATCCACAAAATTATGTTATTCGAATTTATTAACCTAATGCTTATTGACTAATTTAGAATAACAAAAAAAAAAATTAAAAAAAAATTGGTTTTGTTTGGAATATTGGAATGTATATTTCCTAAAGCTATTACGTGTTATAGGTTTGCCCTTGAAGAATAAAATAATATAATAAAATAGAAATAATTATTATTTTTGTTATTATGTTCTATGGGTATAATAAAATTGGTTAAAATCAAAATAATATTAGTCACATTTGGCCACCTATCTCCAATCACCACTGTCCACCAAACGTGTAGGTAGGTATGGATTTCTATCTTGTGTTTTTAAGCAGTATCATTCCTCATACGCCATAATTAATGTTATTGGGGTCACTGGAATGAAAAAAAGATTGACCTCAATATTGTAAGATGATCTATTATATCTAAAAAAAATAAGCCTGCATTTTAATTATTCATAATACAATCTTTGCGGCCGCCTCTGGGTTGTGAAATAATTTTTTATTGAATATACAGGCCATTTCTCATAATGAAATAAAATTTTGATTATAATAATGATAATGTTTATAACCTCGAGAATTATATTTTAAATAATACCAAGTAAACATTTCATTATTTTATCATTATGTATGTATTTGATGTAACACGGACACAAGTATACTGAAATAGTTTGAAGTTATAATTTACAATAGTAGTAGATAAGTGTTATTCTGTTATCATCGTGTTACTATAAAATATAAATCTGCTTTAAAGTGTAATTTTCAAATTTATCAATTTTTATTTCTTTCAAGAAGTACTATAAAAATGTCGGTGTTTCGGAAAACATTTGTTAAAATGTGATGTAGAAGTTCAAGTAATATCCCAAAATCTAAAATATTTAGGTATTTAAATTTTCTGAACATAATGTTTTACTGCATAAATTTAACAAGTCAATCATTCTTCTGTTTAATCGACGTGTTATTTTTTGTGACTGAAGCTAAACTCGACCATGAAATACAAACTCACCGATCATACCTACTTATTTTTTAGTCTTTGCGTAAATAAAACATAACCACGTAAAACTATTTTTGAAGTACGTTGTAACGATTTTTAAGGCCCCAGCGAACCCTATTAATTTGTCATAAAAACGACCTTAGCGACTGGTAAAAGCTAAAGTACTTCTAGTGGTTCGATTTAAAAAATGTAAAGATGTTTTAATTGATCAACAAGTCTACTTTGCATCGGTCGGAGCATATTTTTTATATTTTAGATATTTTTGAATATATTCAATACTAAAAATTTATAAATTTATAAAATGTAAAATATTTGTTCTCGTCAAGAATTTGCTAATATTCAAAAAGTGCTCCACCGATGCAAAGTAAACTTGTTTACCAACACAAATATCTTTACATTTTTTAAATCGAACCACTAGAAGTACTTAAATTTTTGTCAGTGCGATGGCTATTTCACGTCCATAAATTGGTTTTGAATATTTTGATTTATAGACATTGAATGACTTTTGCATGTGAGTGCGCGCGACCATATACCATACAAGAAATAATAATGTATTGTAAATTGATGTGGGTCGCGGGTGATGGTAGGGGAGTATACACACACAGTGTGTGACACATTAATGATCATTTACTACACACCTAAAGACGATCAGTAGTCGCAGGAACGAAATAATTGCCTACACAACTCCTTAAAAATGACACATTTTCACCTCCCCCCCCCCCCGTAATTACGCCCCTACTGTGCACATCTTGTAATCTTGTATGAATGTATTTTAATATTTATATAGACAATAGACGATATATCTGTTTTTTTTTAAGTCCTGTAATTATGTAGACAGAACAAAAACCACGAAAAACCAAAATTGTAAATTTTTCTATTATGTTTTATTTCATTACTCATTAGTTCTAATCACGGTATATTATAATATACCGTGGTTCTAATATTGTTCCCCGATATCCTGGAGCTATTAAAATAACATTATATTTTATGTATAATATTGTATGAATATGTGCTTATGATATACACTATGTGCATGTGTCTGCCTGTATAAAAATGACTGACACATTATTATGTACCAGTTGTATATTATATTTTATTATGTATATTTATAAGTATTGGTTCCATTTTATTTTATAGAGCTTCTCTAATTTGTATTTGTTTTTATTATTTTTTACAATTAATACGATTATCATTACATTTATTTTTATTATTATTTTGTTATAGCCATCAGTTTTATTTGCATGCCAAGTTAGAGCTATGTGAAGGGCGTTTAAGACCGACAGATAGCCAAGCAATATGTAAAACTATTGCATTATTGGCACAGGCTGAATTCGGCGATTGCGATGACTCGGTTGCTCTTGTGCAGTTTTTCGCATATTGGTGTGAACATTTGGGCGCACCCAAAGATGATGATGAGTTTATCATTGATCATATTCAAAATCTTCAGTCTGAAATGAAAGTATGTGTGATATATTTTTATATTCAATATTTATTTTGTAAATATATTTGTTATATTTTAAGGGTATGAAACAAACAACTGCTGAATATTGGTTGATCAAAGAAGTCTCTGGTCTTCAAAACTTTGGTGAAGAGGTATTTGAAGGTAGAACAACAAATGGTTCTTCAGTACTGGTGGGAGTTGGACCACATGGTATTAGTCTGGAGCACCCAGATCAAGCTGATCATGAAAAACAAATGTAAATATTAGTATTGGACATATTAATTGTTAAGAAGGATGACAACATTTATTAGACATTGTTGAATTCAATCCTTCTATTTTAAAACTATTGTACACTATTTCAATATAACTTTTTTTTATTAATATTGTAAAATATAAATTTTTAGGATTCCTTATACTGCGATCCGCAGTGCTGCCAGCCACCGTCGTGTATTTGAGATGTGGTATTTGGCAGGTGTCGAACATTCCGAAACACTAATTGTATTGAAATTAGAATCTAGTTTGGGTGCAAATACACTTTATAGAGCACTTACGGAGAAACATGCATTCTATAGTTGTGAAACAGTGAGAGGCGCTGTTACATCACAATATATCAGGGATCTCAAGGTAAATATTATATTATTTTTAGTATGAGAAATATTCTGTGAATTTACAAAGTTAAAAAAGAATTGCATATGTAAATGCCATTGTTAACATAACATTCTACTATTCAGTTACTTAAATTTGAAACAATGAACTAATGAAAGTGTTTAATCAAATGCAATTTTATCAAAGATATTAAAATGTTCTTTTACCATATACAGCTGACCTATGATAATTTATAAATGCAATTATGTATGTACTAAAAACTGTTGTTGATGTAATAGTTTTTTTTTCAGGGTACAATTATATCTATATTTAATGAAGATTCACCATTAGGGAAGAAATACGTGTTTGATATACAGAGGACCTGTCGTGAAGTTCATGACAATGCACGTCGTGCACTTTATGAAAAGCAAAACAAAGTCACACCATCCAGCTCTACTGTGGTACTGACTTCGCCTGAACCTGAGCCAACTACTTCACAGGATAGCTACAAACTGGCCAAGCTTATTGATGCGCTTACGTGTAGAATTTGCATGGATGCCACTATTGATCATGTATTTTTCCCATGTGGTCATGTTATTGCATGTGGAACATGTGTTAAACGATGTGAAACTTGCCCACTATGTCGGGGTGCCATTGATGAGTCTAGGCATGTGTTTATTCCGACTTTAGCTGACTTGCCAGATCTTCATCATTAGTGATGTAACCAAGTAAAGTATGTTCAAGTCATGATGACTCACAGTGGGCACACTATCATCAAAATTGACCTCAAAGCATGAATGTCTGTGATAATGCTAATATATCAAAACTTCCTATACTTTCATACTTATTTATTTTTGTTAAACAAACATTTTTTTATAGTATTGATGTGAACAATGGATAGGAGATTTCATTTGTATCATTTACATGTTGTGTATAATTCATTTAGTTTAAGGTAATATATTTTTAAGTATAATTTTTATACAAACACATAAGTAAATTAAGTTTTTGTGTTACCATTAAACTATTAATTTGTATAAGTCAGATAGATGACACAATTGTTTGTTAATACAAAACGTTAAAATTGAAGTACAATTCACATTATGAGTACCTATATAATATAAAGTTGAATTTTTCTTTATTATTTTTGTTCAAAATATTATTTTACTTTCATTTATTCTATCATTATTATCGTTGTGTTATGATTCATAACTTATGAAATATATAAAATTATGCAAATTTATGCATATGAATTGTGTTTGCACATTTTTCGTTTTAGATTTCAAGAATATAATTTGAATGAAAATTCAATAGAGAATTTAGAGTTGACGGGATTATAATTTTTAATAATTGTTTTTATTTATATTTTTAATATAAATGAGTTTCTAAAAAATAAAACCAAATTAAAATCGTAAGACATTTTAGATTCTGAGCGATGAATGTATTGATTTGATTTTACAATGGTGTGCTTTTTTTACGTTTATTGTGTACATGATATATAGTTGAAATAATGCTTCGAGTTTCAACTTATATCTTTTATCTTGTATCTTGTATCTTATATCTTATATCAACTTGTATCTTTTCTGGTGGAAAGTTTTGTGTATTGGGAAGGTCAAAATTTAAAATTTCTAGTAGTTTTCAAATGCATCTAGAAAACCAAATAAAAATTAAGAAAAACGGGAATTTTTTTTTTTCATAATCGGTTTTGACAACATTGATTTTAATTTTTGGTGAACTCTAAAAAAAATTACCAAAGATACAAGAATCTATACACCATAAAAATTTTGAATTATTGCAACTCTTTTTGAGCTTTAGGCATGTGGCTCTTATAGGCATAAGAAAATGTGGAGTTTTATTAGGTTTTTTTTTAAAATTATTGTTGATAAAATATTTTATGCTCGGTCAAAAAACTTGAAAATGTAATTCAACGTTTCTCAAAAGTTCATTTGTTGTTTGTAAAAATTAAAAAAAAGTTGAGCTTAAATCCACAAACATATTCTATGAGCATCTAAAGTTAAACAAAATTCATTATTATCACGAAAATTGGCAAATTAATTGGTATTAGAAATTCATAAAAATGTTCCCATTTATATCTAAACTTTGAAAGTGCAATACAAGATTCCCCTTAAGTTTTTCTATATTTAACATAAAACATTTTTTACAGAAAAATCAGATTACATTTCTACTAGCGTTTGAAGTTATACATTGGCTATTCGTCCGTAAAATAACAAATTCTCATTATCATACAACGATTTTTAGATTCCGGGCGGAGCAATGAATGTATTAATTTTACAATGATGTGTGTTTTATTTTTTTTTTTATTTAACAGTAAAGGTGCTTGGATTTTCTTCGACATTATCTTTTCTGATAGGGAAGTGAATCTAGTTGGTACTTTGGGGGGTCGAAGTAACCTCCGCGGTGAAAAACAAAAGCAAAATTAAGGAAAAACCAGAAACTTTTACCCAAAATTGATTTTGGTTGTTGGAATAACTCTAAAACAGATAACCGTAAATACAGGCAATTTTGACTGAATGTTTATATTAGTATTTTCTATACACCATAACATTTTCAAAATATTTTGACTTATTTTTTTCTGTTTAAGGATATTTTCAGTTGCCATTTTTTTAGTTTTTTATTCTATAAATATCAACAAAATTGTATCTATTGTATTAAAAAACCTTGAAAATTTAATAGAAGGCTTCTATTTATTGTTTTAAATACAAATGAAAAATATTAAAAATCCAGTCACAATTTTTTTTATAAGCATATGCAAATTATATTAAGTTAAAAATTAGTAATATTTCTATTTAAATTTAAGATTTGAAAACGTAATACATGATTCCTCATAAGTTTGCCTACCTTTATTAAAAAAAAAATGTCTACAACAAATCAAATTAAATTTTAATGAGGGTTTGAATTTCATATTTTTACAATATTGGATATTCACTCGATTTCTCTTAAAGCGATTTTGTTATTTTGTTATTTATTCAAAAACAAATAACTGTAAACATATGAAAATTTCACTGAATTTTTATATTTTCATTTTCTGTACACCATATAATTTCTAAAATGTTTTCACTTTTTTTGAGCTGTTTACGGACATTGTCAGTTTTCAATTTTTAGATTCTGAGTGGAACGATGAATGTATTGATTTTACAATGATGTGTTTTTTTATTTTTTTATTTTTTGTGTCTGTGTACACGGTAAGTAGTCAAAATAATACTTTAGTTTTCAAATTTAGTATCTTGTTCGATGGGAAAGTGAATATTGTTGGTGCATTGAGGAGGTCAAAATTTAAAATTCCCAGTAATTTTCAAAAGCGCCAAGAAAAACTTGGTGTAACTTTAAAACTTGAATCTTCTAAAGTATATTACTATATACTATGATAGTATCACGGTTTGTTATTGATGTATAACGCGTTATAAGTACCTAATGGATATTGTGATATGTTTAATTTGGAATTTAGTATAGGTAAATTTTTTTTTTTTAATACCATAGATATGTACATAATATGTTTTATACCTAGACTGACATACCGTCTCCGCTCAGAATCGTTTTTCTTATACAATATGATATTATATCATTGAATTCAAATTTAATACCATCCATTATACAGTGACCCACTTGTAACCTACTGTACAGCAGAGCACTTTTTTTAGTTTTCTTTTCAATAATTGTCAATAAATTTTTTTTGCTAGGTAATAATGCTTCAATATTTAATACAAAGCTCCTGATATATTGTTACAATAGCAGTTGAAAAATATTAAAAATACAAAAGCACAATTTTTTTTTATATGCATTTAAAGTTTAAATGTTGACAAAATTTATCAAATTAAAAATTTACAAATTATTTAGTAATTAAAATTTTTTTAAATGTTCAACATTTGTAGCTAAGAATTTTAAATTTAAAACAATAAGGTTCCGAGTTAGTAGTTTATCCTGTAACCTAAAAATCTAGACAATATATAAATACAATTTTTTTTATAGGACGAAATTTTACATATTAAATAACCAAGAATATCGATTTTAGTTATTTTGTTGTAATTTAAAAATATTATTCGTTCGTACTTGAAACTCTCAAGTTTATTATTATAAACAAATATTGAAATATGATAATATTATGCATATAATACATTATATTATTTGTTCAATTTACCGCCTACTGTATATAAATAACAATATAAATGTAATATAAAATATCCTAGGCTGACAATCGCTGTCTCCACTTATAATCATTTTTCGTATGCACTATGCAGTATGCAATGATATTATATCATTACAGTGACCCAATTGTAACCTACTGTACTGCAGAGAGACACTCCCTTATCCGTTTTTTAAAGGGGCTCGGTTTATCTTATACTTGTACAAAATGCTCACTTTACGAAATGATTTACCAATATAAAAATGTTATTATTAATGTTTGATTTATGTACCTATATAAACGTGTGACTTTTTATAGACGATAGAAGTATCAGGAGATAATGACTACAGATTGTGCCGAATCTAGGTCAAAAGATCCAAACCAAAATATATAACCAAACTAAATATATTAAAACTATAAGTAAACCTTGTTGAGCTATAGGTTTTTTTATATAGACTTTTTGTTGAAAGCTGATTAAAAATTAAAAATATAATGAGTAGGTATATCGTAAGTAGGTATATTATATTACAGTTTTATCAAAGCTCACCAAGCTCAGCTCACGGATCAATAAACAATTGGTATAATATTGATTTAGATTAATCCCATAAATCCAACTATTTGAACATTAATTACGTAAGTTCGACTAGAAACTGCAGCAGACGAAACAAAAATTTCACGGCGTGATATCAAATGGTCGTACCATTAGACCACCATCCATCATCAGTAAAAAAAAACAAATTAATACATACCTGATACCTATCTGTGAGAAATATAATGATGGAAGTAGTTTCTGAATTATTTAAATGCCATCGCTAATTTTATCAAAAAATTGTGTAATCTACCACATCCACTTAATATTGTATTTTTAACGTTTTAACTAAATTATTTGATTATAACAACATTTCAAAATGTTTGTGGTCACTCTACACCAGCGACCAGCTGCAGTGTAATCATTGAATAGGTAGGTATATAGGTAATAGTGAATAAGTGAATTATTTCGTGTCTGTATTTAATCAGTGGCGTAGCCAAGATTTCTAAAAGGGAGTGGGGCAATATAAAAATCTTATAACAATGAAATTTGTACTGTTTTAATTATATATATAAAAAAAAGAAATTATTCGTATATACTTATTAGGTGTGTGACAATAATACTAAATATATATTGCTGAAATGAATAAAATATTTAAGGTGTATGAATATAGGTCGTTTCTAAGGAGTACAATATAGGCAATTTTCTATTTTCTTATTTTCTATTTATGTGTATGCGGCTCGTTTAAATGTGTACGTAGTAAGTGATCATTAGCGTGAGTGAGTGACTATGCCGCACGTGCAGCACTTTACACAATAATAATTATATTTTATAATTATTATAAATGTGAATTTTAGTGAAACACTAAAACTATGTTTCGTATTTCCAATAATCCAGATTACTGAGTGATACTATAGTATAGACACTTATACAAATTGAAGAGAAGATGAAGTTTATCTAGGCATGTATAAAAGTCGATTTTCGATATTTTGTTTTCAACGTCCAATATTTAGCTTGTGAGCCACGATTAGGGAATTTCAATGGGGGAG